ATATATATTATATATAAGTATTTATTTGTATATTTCCCCAGGTATTGGGCAATTTCAACAAAGAACGGAACCACGACACCCCGCTGTCTATTGGCCGGGTCTTCAGGGACTAGTCAGCGATCCTCTCGCATGGCGAGCAAGATTACATACACGTAAGTGTTTTCACACAGTGTATTTTTTACATATTAATATTATAATATATATAGAATATCATTTTTAATATTCATATATATTTATGATACTGAATATATATTTTATGCTCTGAGATAATATATTTAATATTAAATATAAAATAACGTATTAATATCAGTTAATCAGTTACGTGTTTATTATTTAAAATGCCAAATTATATTTAATTGCATTTGCTCCATTTTCTGCTACTTTGTCTTTATTTTCCTCTTTCTCTCTCTTTCTTACTCTCTTCTCATCCTTATCTTATTCGAGTATTGTTTCGGGGCAGAGAGATATATTATTATTACTTCTAAATACGTATATTGTCATCCTACATCTCGACCGCCTGCGGATGTTTCGTTACCTTCCCCGAGTATCGTTGCGGCGAGGTTGACAGCTGTGCGTGTTTGCTTTCGCGGCAGGAAAATCACAGGGCCGAAGTGAAGAAACACGTGCTGCCAAACGTGTCTCCGTTTGAAACGGCGTGCCCGGAAAGTCGTTTGAAGCGATTCTCCCGGCGTAGGTCGCCTACGGGGAGGAATTTAAAAAATGCGTGGAAACCATCGGAGAGCGCGGGAAAGGAAGTCGTAGGGCGAGGAACCCGCGGTCACGAAAGAATGGGGGATTCTCAATCTAAAGACGACATGTATATGACACATAAACCAAGAACTTGTCCGCTTGAAAATGTAATTGTACTAATGGTCTTTGTCTATATGTTAATCGATTCGAAAAGAATCCAAAATTGTATCCTTTAGCCTATTATGTATATTATAAATTTAAAATATTAAATTTAAAATTCGTAAAAATATCATAGAATGACTATTATCAAAATTGAAAACATTTTATATTTATAGAAATTTATAACATTTTGACAAAACTGAAATTTTATAGTGCTAGAAGTAGAATAGATGAAACTGTGTTATATACGAGAAATATTGGAATTTAAAATTGATTTGAATTAATGAGTTTTCAGTTTCATTGGTATAACAAAAATTGTATATATATATATACATACTTGATTAAATTGCAAATATTCAAAAATTATCATTTAGACATTTAATGCACTTGAATTACCATTAACGTGTAGACATCGACAACGACGATCGTAGCAGGTCGATCCCGATCGTTATCAAGTGCCGACGTACACCCTTTGCACTCCCTCGGGCACTTGGACGGTTCACGCTCAATTAGCCAGCGGAATCCTTTCCCCTCCTCCGACATACATACCGGGACATCCCCGATGATAGTACGGCCGATCGCTCATCGTGTATACACCCCCGCCCTTACGAGAAGATGATTAAGGGTACCGCAGAAAAAAAAATCACAAAGTAAAGGAACACGTGACGTCTCGTCTCGTCTCCCTTCCAACGGTGAGACGGACGGAGACGGATGGCGACGGAAAGTAAAAGACAGAGAAGGATAGCACGCGCATACGTCAATTTCCCCTAATCCTCCCCCTTTCCTCGCGCGAGATGGCACATGTGCCGCGACGTAAGGAGGACGGTAAAATGCCGGCGTGTACAACGCGGGCGTGGACACACCATGTGGGGGCGCACGTGTGTGTTTCGGGTGTTCGCTGTTACACAACGGCCACGAGAAAGACAGAGAGAAAGAGAGAGAAAGAAAGAGAGAGAGAGAGAGTGTGTCGTATGTATCGTGAAGGGCGAATAAGAGGGTGGTAGCGGTAGTCCGCGCTGCGGCGTCGGGATCCGGAATATCATCATATTCAATATCAACCCTGCCTCTACCCCCGGGGAGCTGCCGTCCCTTCTCCATGGCTACGTTTTCCACACTCGCGCGAATAACTCCGGCAATATTTTAACTGCGTGGAGGTAAGGGAGGGGGAGGCGTTCGTGTCTGCCAGCCTGCCTTTTCTATCGTCCGGTACATGCGGTGGCGGATTCAAATCCTCCTGCTGTGGGGAGAGAGGCCAACCAGTCAACGCGCACCCCGCTCTGTACGAAACGTAAGAGTTACGCCGGTTACCCGGTATATTTTATATTCTGGGGCAAAACGTTGATCGGCTCATGGCTCTCACGAGGCATCGCCGAACGACCGCCACGGGAACCGTCGTCTATTTATGCCTCCGCACCGTATGTATCGGGATACAACTATACTCGAGATAAACCAGCCTGGACCAGCCTCTGGACCAGCATCCACCCCTCCTCCCTCCTCCTGTCGTCGCCCTTATTTCCCTCTCGTACTTCGATGGCAGAGGATAGTGATGATAATAATCGTTTCGATGTTCATTCGATACTTGCTGATCGAATTGAGAACACATCTTTTACCAGTTAAAGCAGAGAAATCTAAAAATAATCGAAAAACAATTTGAATATTGAGTAAGAATCTCAGTTTAAAATCAAATTAAACAAAAACTATATTTATAGAAGCATTTTTTCATTGTCCAAAAATTTTTAAATTTTTATCTACTTGTATATTCACGTTCTTTAGATGTCAAACAAAAAGATCTTAAATTTGAATCTCCTATAATTTTATCTAAAAAATTAGTCTTCTTGTTATATTTTATTGTAGTATATGTTTTTAATATATAAAGATATAAAATGTTTGATATCTTATGTTTTTTTTTAGCCTATATCAATATTAATTAATAAATATTCTATTATACATTTAATAATTTTAATTAATATTATTCCATAATCCATATAAGAGATTTTCCCCGCATAAACATAACATTCCGATCTCGCTTCCATATAACATCCTATGCATAAAACACGAACTTCTCCCAAAAATGATGGGCATCTATCCATCCGCACGTTCTTCCCCTCATTCCCATTCTCATAACGAGAACGTCGGATAGCGTGCACCTTGTTTCTGTTTACACATCGACGTATACTATGTTATTCCTGCCGCTCTCCTTCCTGTATTTTCCTTCTCACTTGGCCGCTTTTTTCCACGCTATCACCGCCCACTCTTTTCCGCGTTTTTCCTTTTCTCCCCCGCGTTCACCGACTCTCCTGTCTCTTCCCCGTTTCCTCATCGGGTGGGCTTTATGGACATGAAACTCGTCTGGGTAAGCGTCACGTAAGCGAACTCAGTAATGAAAACGTCGCTGACGCGACGAGATTCCGGCGGTTTAGGCCGGCCAATGTATATATTGTTATTACTCACAATGTACCCACACAGAGAGAGAAAATCATCCTAGCAGGGAGAGAAGACGACCGCTTCCAATAATATCTCGCGAGTGTGTTTCATGGGATATAATATTGGCACAAAAATCAAAAATGATTCTCTTTGATGAAATGAAAATTTATACCATGACTAGAAATATATTTTTATACATACATATATAAAATTTTACTTTACACACAAAACTAAATAAATAAATATATGTATAAATATATTTATTTATTTATGTATTTTTGTATAAAAAACAAAAATTTTTTTAATAATTAGACACACATTTAATTAACTGATATTAATATAATTTAATGTCAATTTTTTAATTTTATTATTTTCAATATTCAAATTTTTTTCTTATTTAGTAAAATAAAGTTGATAAAAATGTGATTGTGAACTTTCTTGTATTCTGAGTAATAATCACGACCCTTCCGATCCGCGCCGGTACCCCAATAATGGATATCGCGTGATCAGTGCAGCAGAATGCCTTCGTTAGTTCGAATTAACTAAGCATCCATTTACTTTTGGTGACAACATACTTTGTACACTCGATAAAGCATTCCTCTCGGACGCCAGTCGACTCGATGCGCGCCGTTATTACTCACGTCGTCGATGGAGCGAGCAGCCCCTTCACGAGCTATCATGCTTTTTAGAAGCCGAGTGATATTCGATTCAATTACGTCAAAGTGACGAATCATCGCCCTGCGTCATCGTTGACATCTTACTCTAATAAAAGTATTGCACTCAAATATCATTGTTAATGGAATATAAATAATGTATATATACGCATAGAAATGTTTTTTTCTCGTTAGAAGTTATTTCTTTTAATATTGCACCTTAATACATGTGGTGTGTTTGTGTAAAGCATCTCTCAGGAAAATTTTTATTTTTCAGTTAGGCGTCATATTTCTGGATATTGATTAATTAATTACTAGCGTGAGATTTACAATTAGTCGCACTAAATTAACAAAGTAGTTTCTGAACCTATATAATTTAATATTATTATAAATTTATCTCGCCAATTTTTGTTTGCTATTTTAAAACACTCACGCAAAAAAGATAAATTCTGATATCGTCCAAAAAAATTATAAAAAGATTTTGATCTACCTCTCTCATTCTCTCTCCATGTCCGAATCGCGACGCATCTTTACCACGAATGATTTGTTTCGCCCCCGAACTCTCGGGTGGATAAAACGGTCCGTGACACCGCGCGAGCGGGGGGTCGCTCACCTCGTATAAATCGAGCAATCGAACGCGTCGAGCCTCGCACCCGAACTTCCGTTCGCCGATAACGAATATTACGAATGGCCGCGCGCGGTGTCTCGTTTTTGATCGTTCCTCTTTTTTTTTTTTTTTTTTAAAAGTTCCCGATACGGTTACCTCCCATTTTGATCTACCTCTCTCATTCTCTCTCCATGTCCGAATCGCGACGCATCTTTACCACGAATGATTTGTTTCGCCCCCGAACTCTCGGGTGGATAAAACGGTCCGTGACACCGCGCGAGCGGGGGGTCGCTCACCTCGTATAAATCGAGCAATCGAACGCGTCGAGCCTCGCACCCGAACTTCCGTTCGCCGATAACGAATATTACGAATGGCCGCGCGCGGTGTCTCGTTTTTGATCGTTCCTCTTTTTTTTTTTTTTTTTGAAACGTTCCCGATACGGTCACCTGCCGCTGATTTACATCGACACGGTGCGGGCGGACGCATCAATTTGCCGTGCCGATACTTCGTCTAATCGGACATCGGAGCGTTATCCGTGGCGGTGGCGCGAGTCTGTGTGTCTAATGCGTGTGTATATGGAAGTATCGATATATACGCATTATCCGGAGCGATTTCGCTCGCATACACTGCTTGACACGCGCGTGTCACTTGTTCACTCTAAATCGGCTGATTAAATTATGGTCCTACGTGTAGCCCTCCCTTCCGCTCCCTCCACTTTGCGCCCCGACACGCTATAAAGATTAATCCGGAATCCGTTAGCGTAGTGAAGAATAATATGCCAACAAATATTGCCACGTGCAGAAAATAAAGAGTTCTTTGATTGATTAATGCCTAAATGAATAGACGTGCGGATACCCTTCAGAAGATTTTATTCGCTTGTGAAAAAAATGGAATAATCTGGAAAAATTTTATATATTTTTGTTGCAAGGCAATTGCTTTTCCGAGATTGTGAAAATTGACGCTTTATTTTATTCATTCCATTTATTAATCTATTCTTTGCCGAAAAAGCTAGCGCGAGACATTGGCGGGATTCAATTGGAATTGGTATGGTATCGATGTGAATGTGTTAAAACTTTATATCACCGGTCCAAATTCCCATGCGAAAAAAATATTTTGTGGAAAAAGTCGGGCAATAAATCGTCAGAACGACCGAACATAACCGGATATCCGGCTTGTTTAAAAAATTCAAGGAAGTATTTTAATTAAAAAGCTTTCGTGTGTATTGAGGTGCAATATTTCCTTTACATATTGCTCGATTATTATTCTATATGCAACACATATTATAGTGGATCATCCGTCTTTATATATA